TTTTTTGAACGAAAATATTTCTTTTTTCTTTTCATTTGTGACTCTTAAGAAATTCCTCAATTTTTCTAAGATTTAGCTTTATTTTTATTTTGAATTTCAATATTTTTAATATGAAGAGTTACATTATTATTTTTTATTCTGTTAATTAACCTAAAAAAAAAGGAAAGGTGTTCTTCAATTTCCAGGCCTTAAATAGAACCGAATGTGATGTAGGGCTACGATCATGTTACGAAGGTACAATTCCCTCCTTTCAAAGGTGTTCCCCAATTTCCACCATTGTATACATTCTAGTAGAGGTGGCTAGTCAACGGGTCGAGACGAGACCCGGCCCGGCTGGCCACGGGCCCTCTAACACATTGTCCACAACCGACCCGCTAAGAACCAAGGACATGTTATATGAATCGGCCCGAACCATCGGTACACGTGCCGGGACAACCCTTAAAATGCACAAAAAAAATTGACAATGTGGCCCACCCTCCGATTCAGTCCGGACCGGACCGGAAGGACCAAAATACAAAAAATAGAACTGGGACCGAACTTCAATGAACCGGTCCTTAGGAGGCCGGTTCAGGCCGGGCTGTTGCCAGTTCGCGGGCCGGTTCGGCCCGTAGACATGTCTACAGTCTATTCTCATCTTTCCAAACTCCCGTTTTGGCTCAGAAAGTAGCCATAATAAATCCCATCCAAGTACTCGAAGATTCCCACAAACCCTCAAAATTTCACCTCAAAAATCTCAGCAATTTCTGACGAGCAGCCAACAGCTGAAGGATCAGGCGAGTGAAAAATGGACCTAGAAACCCGCACCAAAATCGAAGAGGCAGTTTTGGGAATCCTGACGAATTCGAATATGGATGAGACAACAGAGTACAAGATCCGGAAATCAGCATCCGAGAAGCTGGGCATGGACCTCTCCGAACCCACCCGGAAGAAATTCGTCAGGGAGATCGTCGAAGCCTACCTTAGGGCACAACAGGCCGAGGCAGAGGAAGAGGAACCCAAAGAGGAGGATAACAACGATAATAAAGGCGGTAGAGAGTATGACGATGAGGGCGGGCTCATTATTTGCCGCGTGAGTTTTGCAGTACTTTTTTTATTACTCAGAACGCAGTTTTGTTTTGGTATAGAACTGATTTTCTTGTTCGAAATGACGGGTTAAACCGCTTGTAGTGTTTATCGTGAAATTGGAGGTTTTTATCATTGTACAGAATTTTAGACTACTAATTGTCGGTGTTTGAGGTAAAAAAGTGCCCTTTGTTTTATATTCTTGCAGCTGTGTGTTTAGATGGTAATTGAAGCCTAAGTTTGGGTAATCTGGTCCGATTATGTTTTCTCTTTTCTGGTTGTTTAGTTATCGGATAAGAGAAGGGTGACGTTATCGGAGTTCAGGGGGAAGACTTTGATATCAATTAGGGAGTATTACAAGAGAGATGGCAAAGAGCTTCCAACAGCCAAAGGTAATTGTTTTTGTGTAAATTTAAAGTTTTATATATACTGAGTTTCTGTTGGTATGTTTAACGCTTTGTTCGTCCCGGATCTCTGTGTTTGTGCGCACCTGTGTGTGTTAAGTTCGGATCCATATTCTATTATATTTGTCCTCTGTGAACATGTTTAGCTCACTCCTACAGGTAAATGAGAGGTAAAACTATTGCATGACTTGCTTGAGTGGCAAGGGCTCGCTTAAATCTCAAATTAGTAACTGATCTTTCAAGTGACATCCATGGAACATACTCACATAGTATTTTCCTGTCTTCAAATAATTCATTTTTTTTTTTTAAGCTGATGGATTAAGTCAATGGTTGCAAGGGGAATCCAAGATTTTTAAATTACCATATGAGTGCAGAATGCTGCATGCAAGTTGAACTCGGTCGCATGAAGTCTTTGGATCAGAACCATTATAAATAAATTGGGTGGCTTGAACATAGATATACTTTTTTAGTTGTTTTTTTTTTTAAAAAAAAAAAGCAAAGTAGGCTCTAAAATCATATAGTTACTCGTATGTTGATTGGTATGTTGATTTGTCAGAGTTGGAAGTTTTCTTCGACTAATTCATTGTTTCATTTACAACTTGGACCAGAAATCAGCCATGGATGAGGTTAAATTGCAAAAGACTAGTGCAACATGATTGCTGAGGGGACAAATAAATAATGAAAAACTTACCCATGAAGTTGTTATGTGAAACTGTGTCGTACAATAAATTTTGTTGAAGCTCTTTTTCATGTATCAATTATCATGCTTCTTAAGATGTTTTTCCTTATAAAAAACTCTCTCAATATCCTCTTTTTGGCACCTTTTTTTTATTATTCTTATCTAAAACATTTGTGTATTATTGATCTTGTTATGGTGGCCTTGTTAATTTCACCGACTTAAACCTTGGGATGTCAACTGGAAGAAGTCCAATAGTATCAGTTTTAGAACCAAACTAACCCATTATATATTTGGGAGAAGTTGCTTTATTGCCATCACATATTTCTATATCATAGATATTATAAGCATTTAGTAATTCAGTTGCTGTGCCTTGTCATGAAAACGTTATTTTATAAACGATTTTGGTTACTTAAACCTAATTGTAGGTCTTATCACTTAGTAATAACCTGCACTGGTTGAGATCTTTATCTTGTATATGTAAAAGAAGTGGACTTGATATTACTTAGTAGTTACTGTTTCACAGTTTTACATCCGTCTTCATGCTTTGATCTCTCAAATGAATTGTATATTATGAACTTGCAGGTATAAGTTTGTCAACTGAACAATGGATGTCATTCAGGAAGAATGTGCCCGAAATCGAGAAGGCCATCAAGAAAATGGAATCTAGGTGAAGATTAACACGGCTCTCTAACTTGAAGGAGACTCATTTTGTGATTGGTCCTGCAAATGATTGAGACCTATTATGATCTTGTTATGGGACGGTTTTGGATACTGTTCATTCAGAAGTGCTACTACACTTGGACGCTGATATAGTATATAAATCAGTGTTCTTATTTTGCTCATGTATCCTTGAACATGACATCATTTCCCTATTTGTGGCATATCTTTAATTTGGAACTTCTGCGTAAATGGATCTTGGGCTTGTATTTCTCCTGCTTTTGTTCCTTCTTTATCCTTATTGTATTGATGTTTTCAGTGGTTATGTTAAGGCAACTCGCTTGTGATAATTACTCGAATTTGGGCATCATCTAATAAGAGTGACATGTGCGTAAGTGTTTTAACCTCAATATCAAGTTTATTGTCCAACAGATAACCTTCATCTTTTTAGGGTGGTTTGGTTGCATAGATTGGGTCAGATATCACTTGAGTTCGCGAGTTTGTATTATTTCCATAAGTTAATTAAATTGTTTTGGTTTCCTGAAGGTTAGCCCTTCAAATGTGCAATGACTGGTTCAATTATCCCTTCATCATTTGGTTTATTTAAGGTTAGCCCTTCATCTTTTTAGCCTATACAGCCGTAGGAGATGCTCGTTCACTGTTTCCCGGTGGCATGTGGGGCCAAGCGCCCCGGTGCTCGTCGGGGACCTGTCATTCGGGACCTGTGAGTCCAACACGCATCGGGTTTGAAGATGTTTGATAATGTTTGATTTTGTTGCTCATTATTTATAGCTAAAAGATGAATACTACTCACGAGAACTGTTAAGTAGAGTTTCACAAGAACTTGACATATTAATGAAGATTATCTATTTGACTTGTGCAAAGGCAAATGTTATTTTAATCTGAAGGTAGTTTTTCTTATGTACTTGGAAATCATTTTTATGTAGTTACTTCTTGTTCATCTCAACTCTTGAAGTCAGCTTGTTCAAAGCGGTTGGATTAGGATTCTTTTGCAATACAATACTGGGTTCATTATCTGTGGGCGTTTGGAGTTGTGTCACTATAACATTGCCGTTATCTGTATTAGAATTGATGTTAATAAAAGGGAAATTTTCACTCTTCCGGTAAGAATTGCAAGATATTGCATTTTTACGGAACAAATTTAATTGTATCTATATATAAAATCTAGGATTTTAGATTTTATTAGAAGTATATGTCATGTAAATAAACACACAAATAAAACGCTCCAACCTTAATTATTGCTGACTCATAAGAGAGAGAAATGAAAATAAATAACTGACTCATTTAATTCCTTAATTCGCGCAACTGGAATTCAAAACCATGGACCAGAAGAAGCGGAGGGCTCACACCAACCACATTACCATCGAGTTGTGGATAGACAAAGTAATTAACGGCACACCTTCTGCACTTCCCATCAATTCGCTCACCTCCAAAGGCGGCAAAAACCCGTTCTTTCTATCGGAAACCGACGCCGTGGACATGGCAGAGCCATTAGCGCAGTTGACACGAGGCTCATCTTCTTGTTAGGGTTCTGCGCGGTTTGGCGGGTCTCAGAGGTGCAGATCTGCTATGGAGCCATCGGATGGCTCGACTTATGGAGCCATCCACACTTATTTACTAATAGTGTATTGACACGTGTCCTATAATAAATACAATTTGGACAGGTGTCAACACATTAAGTGGTGGATGACTCCATAAGAAAACCATCCGATGACTCTATATAATTTTTGCTCGGAGGTGAAGGAGACAAGCGAGTTGTTCCCGAACGTGAAATTGGATATCCAGGGGTTTGTTCCAATAATTAAGGAGAAAATCATTAATTATAACATTCCATGATTTGACAGATATTAAAACTCTGTTATATGTACAAATAATTATGGTACATGTGGTAGGTTTGTAAATAAATATATATTGAATGTATATATGTAGTATAAAGAATAATGTTTTGTATGGCGTGTAAATTCCTCTAAAACTATTCCACTTATGTAGATATATGAAGACCCCCTCCCCAAAAGTACCTTATTTTATATTTGAATAGAGTTATGCAATATAATTTTGATATTAAAATGTGTAAACATTTCAAGCATGTTTCAGCTTTCAGAGCATCAGGGGGTGATTGTTTACAAAATAATTTACACTTTATTTCAACTCAAAATCTAACTCAACTTTAACTCAACCCCACTATTTTTAATATTATTCATATAATTAAATAATACAAACCAATCATTCTTACACATCACATCAACTTTAATTCACTCACATAATTTTAACTACATATCATTTTCAATCATTTATCTCTTACTTTTACATCAAATCAATTTTAATTATTTTATTTTAAATATTAATTTAATACATTCTTAAAATTCCACTACAACCAACCATACCACCTTTTTCAAAATTAACTATAGTTAACCAAAATAACTCAATTTGAACAAATTATTTCATAAACAATCAAGCCCTCAGTTTAACGGTCTATCAATGAATTTGTCTCTAACATTTATTTTTTCTATTCATATTTTTAAATTTCCAATTATTTTCAATTTTATCATTCTCAAATTATATTTTCTTTTCTTAAGTACAAAAATAAATAGATAATGTATTACTGTTATAAAAATGTGAGGAATATAAAGAACACAATGTATAAAAATTGGATATAAATTGTACTAAGCTTTCTTTTCTTTTTTCACTTCATTCGTTTTCCGTACCAACATTACACTTCCTTATGGCCCTTTTATAGGCAAATGCCAAGGCCTTTAATCACATGATTGCACACAATTCAATGCAAGTACTAATACAATAATGAAGATGATAATGTGGTTAATTCCACATATTTACAATACTCCCCCTTGGAATTACCACTATTAAATGTGCGTTTATGCTGCCTCGTTAAAAACCTTATCTGAAAAAACCCTGTGGGAAAAAACCGAGATAAGGAAAAAAGAGTACAGCCGCACATACTCCCCCTCGAGTTATTATCCATGCAAATCCCGAAGATGTCTCATTCCAATGTTGTGTACGTGCTGTCGAAATATTGTCGTCGGGAGTGCCTTCGTAAATAAATCTGCTGCATTATCGCTTGATCGAATATATTGAACTTTGATTTGTTTGTTTCTTTCGAGCTCTTGTGCATATGAGAAGAACTTTGGCGGGATATGTTTAGTTTTGTCACTCTTAATGTATCCTTCTTTTGTTTGAGCGACACATGCTGCATTGTCTTCGTATATCACCGTCGGGTCATTATTTTTCGATAGTCCACTGGCTTGTTGAATATGTTGAGTCATGTTTCTGAGCCAGATACTTTCCCTACTTGATTCATGAAGTGCAATGATCTCAGCATGGTTTGAAGACGTCGCAACTAACGTTTATTTATGAGAGCGCCAAGAGAATGCAGTTCCGCCAATCGTAAAAACGTATCCAGTTTGAGATCTTGCTTTATGGGGATCTGAGAGATATCCTGCATCTGCAAAACCGATTATTTCATGTTTTCTATCGTTAGAATAAAACAGTCCCAAATCGATTGTCCCTTGGAGATAACGGAATATATGCTTAATTTCATTCCAATGTCTCCTCGTAGGTGCCAAGTTATATTTTGCTAATAAATTGGTAGCGAAAGATATATCTGGTCTGGTACAATTAGCAAGATACATAAGAGCTCCTATGGCACACATATATGGTATTTCAGGACCAAGTATTTCTTCATCTTCTTCACAAGGTTGAAACGGATCCTTTTCAATATCTAATGTTCGATTGACCATTGGAGTACTAAGTGGATTCGCCTTGTCCATATTGAATCGTTTCAGTATTCTTTGAGTGTAATTAGATTGATGGACAAATATCCCATTTTGGACCCGTTCTATTTGCAAGCCGAGACAATATTTGGTCTGTCCGAGATCTTTCATTTCAAATTCGCCTTTTAGTAAAGTGACTCCTTCTTGAATTTCAATTGTAGTCCCAATAATATTAAGATCATCGACATAGACAACAATTATCACAACTCCATCTTGTGATCTTTTTATAAAAACACACGGGCATATTTGATTATTTATGTATCCCTGTTTAAGCAATTGTTCACTCAAACAATTGTACCACATACGCCCGGATTGTTTCAAGCCATACAATGATCTTTGCAGCTTTATCGCACATAATTGTTTAGGTTTGGACTTTAGTGCTTCGGGCATTCTAATTCCTTCTGGAATTTTCATATAAATGTCAGCGTCTAGTGATCCATATAAGTAAGCAGTCACAACATCCATATGACGCATCTCAAGATTTTCATGGATGGCCAAACTAATCAAGTATCTGAAAGTAATCGCATCCATAACAGGGGAATATGTTTCATCATAATCGATCCCAGGCCTCTGGAAAAATCTCTGTGCTACAAGGCGAGCTTTATATCTTGTGATCTCATTTTTCTCATTTCTTTTTCTGACAAAAACCCATCTGTACCCAATAGGTTTTATGTCTTTAGGTATAATGATAATAGGTCCAAACACCTTTCGTTTATTAAGCGAATTTAACTCGGCTTGAATAGCACCTTTCCACTTGTCCCAATCATGTCTTTTCTGACATTCAATCATAGATTTTGGTTCAGGATCCTCAACTTCTTTGTCAATTTCTTGTGATACCATATATGCGAACGCATCATCAATGATCCCATCACGCTTCCAAAGTTTCCCATTATTTACATAATTGATGGAGATTTCAATATTTTCATTTCGTTCCGAAATTTTTCCATCATCTTGATTCTTTTTCAAATTCGAATCTTGAATTTCTCTTTTCTTTCGAGGAATTTTTTTCTATTATTCATTTGTTTTGATATTTAATTTGTGAATTTGTAATGATTGAGATATGTTGATGAATTGTTGATATGTTTGTGTGATAAATTGATGGGTTATTTTAAAATTGATTAGAGTTTTGTAGTTTGTTTGGAAAACTATGAATTGAAGGTATTCGATAAAATGCCTCAAATGGATTGTTGTATATAATTACTTGTAGTTGGATGACTTGAACGGTTCGTTTCGATTATGTTAGCCCTGTTTTTGATCGAAATGGTTTGTTTCGATTGTTGTACCTAATTGCTTGATGTTTCGTCTATTTTTTTTTTTATTTTGTTCTAAATTAAGCTTTCTTATATGTAATGATTTTTATTTTTTTTTTGTAGAAAATGGCATCCTCCTCACAGCCGCAGCGCTACACCGTCCATCCCGGTCCGATGGATCAGTCCCTTCTTTACCTTCAGGACAACCACCGGTCGGAAGCTGTATACAACGATGTGGAGGGATATAAAGAAAATATTTTTTTTGAGTGTTTGGATTATGAAAATGAATTGTATTGTTATATATAGATATTGGTAAATAACCGTTACAAAAATGACCGTTAACTAGCCGTTGGAAACAAATTTAATGATATAATATTTGCTAATTAATCATTTATGATTATAAAATTCTAATTAATCATGTATATTACCTTAAAAATTTACCGAGTCATTACATAAACAATTTAATAAATAGCAAATCAAATAAAAATATTACTCCACACTACTCGATAAATCTTTCGGTGGGTACAAGAATAATCAGTTATAAATTTCACGTCACATTACTGGGTAAACCATTTTTGTGGGTGTTAAGTATAAGTAATAACATTTATTATAACTTGAATAATAATTCATAAACAAATTTAATAATAACATATCACCACATATTATTGACTATGTCATAGCCTAATTTGCCAATAATAATGGTAACGTGTAGATAATATCATATTTAGTATACATATCTTGACTGTGGTAGAGCCTAACTTGTCAAGAATAATAGTAATATATATATATTTTTGACTGTGGCAGAGCCTAACTTGTCAAAAATAATAGTAATATGTATATATATCCTTGACTGTGGCAGGCCTAACTTGTCAAGAATAATGGTAATATGAACATATATCCTTATATTCCTACCTTTCTGACCGGGTAGAGCGCTCGTGCTGATAACGTGTTATAAAAATGTAAGGAATATAAAAAACACAATGTATAAAACTGGATATAAATTGTACTAAGCTTTCTTTTCTTTCTTCACTTCATTCGTTTTCCGTACCAACATTACACTTCCTTATGGCCCTTAGGCAAATGCCAAGGCCTTTAATCACACGATGGCACACAATTCAATGCAAGTATTAATAAGATGATAATGTGGTTAATTCCACATATTTACAATAATTACAATGATATGATACGGTTTTCATGTTTCTGTTTACATTAGGCTCCTCCTTATCATTAGTTTGACAAAATTGGAGCCATTTATTCAATTTAAAGGTCATTCGATCATACAAATTCTGCCGTAATATAATCTAACTTTTGTTTTTTGTAATCAATTTTCAACATTCTCATTTGACATTTGTAATTCCTTATTTTCCTATTCTTTTTATTTACTTAAACTTTAACTACTTTTTCAAGATTTTTTTTTTTTGGTTTTGCAAGCACATGTTTTTAAGATCATATTCCCATGTTTTTGAATTTTGAGTTTGATATATTGTAATTTAATAAAATAATATTTCTATAAAGATAGAAATGTGAGAAAACTAATGAATACAAAAATTAAGTTGATCCAATATTATATATTGCATTAAGAACATAATTTTTAAACTAGGCTCAAGAATCGACCCGTACAGGTCTTCGGGTCATCCGTTCAACCGCCGAGTTACCGGTCAGTTGTTGAACTGGATAATTAATTTTAAATAATTAAAATTATATATATTGTATTTTGTCATATAAATATACATAAAAGTAACAAAATTAAATATTTTATATATAAAATTTGTACATCAAAGTGTTAATAATATTGTATCTCATAATAAATATTTACCATATAAATATATACATAATTTTTATTTTTGAAATAAAAAAAATTAAAAAAATATATAGGGAGCGGGTCAACCGGGTTGATCCGGCCAGGTCAATGCCCCGGGTTGACTGGGTCAACGCCGAGATGGCCGGGTTTTGACCGAGTTTAACCAGGTCCATTGTTACCCGGTCCAAATAGCCCACCCAGACCGGTTACCTTCGGGTCGGTCCGGGTTGAAAAACTATGATGTAAGAATATGTTTTTTCACGTTAGACATCACTACAAAAAAATTGTTATATTCCAACGGAAAATTCTACAATAATATATTCCAATGGAATCATTCCAACGGAAATTCCAACGAAAATATTCCGTTGGAGTGAATTTTCCATTGAAATTTTAGATGGAATTTGATGAACGGCTATTTTTCCAACGGTTTTTTGCCGTATGAATTTCCGTTGGAATATGCAGTTTTCTTTGGAATTTTTGTTTCTACCCCGTTGGATAATCTACCGTTGGAACCGTCAAAATCTAATGAAAATTCCAATAGAAACTCATTCCAACGAAATGTTTTTGTTCGAATTTCCGTTGGAATCCATTGAAAAATTCAACAGAAAGAATTGCCGTTGGAATTTCTTTAGACTATATTCCGTTGGAATTTTCCATTAGAATTTTATCATTTTCTTGTAGCGTCTAGA